CTGTATATTTTAAAAAATAAGCGTTCTGTGTTCAGCATTCATCAAATATCCACAGGGGACAAATACAAAAATATATCTGTATAAAAACCAGAACACCAAACCCGTTGCCGTCAAGTCAATTCCTACTCATAGTGACCCTATAGGTTAGAGTAGAATTTGCCCCATAAGGTTTCCAAGGAGTGGCTGGTGGATTCCAACTGCCAACCTTTTGGTTAGCAGTCAAGGTCTTAACCACTGAGCCACTAGAGCTCCATATATGTGTATAATAGGGAATTTGTTTAGAAATAACCCTCAGTCTGTCAATTTTGATAGAGTCCCTTCTTTTTCCTTCCTTACACTCACTCTACCACCCATTCTCTTCTTCTCCCACTTCGATTCTTCCTTCCTGTCACTAAGTTTCTGCAATTGAGGTCTTCCCATTGCCCTCATGCTCATTCCTTTCTCCTATTCCTGCTTGACTTCTCCTTACCCTAGTTGGGAAAAGATACCTGACTGGGGTCTCAGAACCCACAGAGAATATCAGAGAAATGGACCAAAGGGCAGCCACCCCTCTGAGCAGGGTGGAGTGCGCATCCCTCGATGAAGTTCAGTGGATAGTGGAGCTAATGGGATGGCTATTTCATCTCGTCCCTGCATGGAGAGGCGCTCTCACCCCCGTGCAGCAGCAACTGTACCTGAAGTGATTAATTACCTGGTACTTGGATCTGGGTAGCCACAGGTTACCGCAACATAAAAGCTAATGTAACAGAGAGGAAGTAATAAACACAGAGCATTTCTGCAAATATACATTGATCCAGCAAAACGGGCAAAGGGCAGGCTCTCTGTTGCAATCTAAATGTGAACATGTTCACCTCCAGACTATTGATCAGGACACAGCACTGGCCAACAAGGGGCGGAAGTTACTGCTGCCCCAGAGCTGAGAGGGAGCAGCCTCAGTCTACAGCAGGAGTGGAATCACTGTCCCATTCCCAACTGGTGCTGATTTCAGGGTTAAAATCAAAGAGATATTGGCTATTCATCCTCCAGTCTTCATTTTCCTTTGCCTGTTCACTCTTTTTTCCTCCCGTCTCCTTTTGCCTACTTACCCTTTTTCCTTCCCTTCCATCCCTTTTCATCCTCTTTTATATTTTTCTTCCCCTTCTCTCTGTCTCCAGAGCAGACAAGAGTTCATTTTCCCATATTAGTCTCATCCCTATTCCTTAACTTCCTCAGACCCTGGGAGATCCTGCCTGCTTAAAGACCTAACTGTGCACAGGATGAAATGACTTAGCTAGTGCTTTGTTTGCATCTGATGGACAGTCCCCAGGAGGATTTTGATGATGAGAGTTAAATCGGACAGGGTGCATATTTCATTTACACAGTTTAGTATTGCAAAATGTGCCGCATATACCCTCCGTATTTGTTGAAACGATGGACGGATGGATGATTTATTGATGAACTCTTTGGATACTGTGAAAAACGCTACAGTACACCTTACTCTTGAGATCACTTACATGCTCTTTCCTCTTTTACAGTAGAATTGAAAAGGCCAACAACCTGCTGCACATTGACCCTGAGTCCTTCCAGAACCTCCCCAACCTGCGATATCTGTAAGAACTCATGTCTTCTGGAGCCCTCTATGATCAAATTGTGCATTCTTATTTTAGCAAAATGCCCACTCAACACTCTGGGCATCAATTGCTTTTTATCAATGATGGGAACAGAAGTAGGGGTGATGAGATACTGGGTGGTGGGTTTCAGTTTAGTTTAATGAGCGAATTCCACTAATATAATTCCATTTTGTTTTCATTTGCAAAAACAGACATAATAAGGAATGCCATTTGCATTAATGGAACTGTCACATGGACCTCTTGCAGAACTCGGTCATAATTGAGTGTTAATGAGATGCAGCCAAATGTCTGCTAGTGTTTAGCTTGTGACCTTGACCTCAGAGACATTGTGTCTCTTGTTCTGAATATATGCATTTTTTGATAGGTTACAATGTTTTATTTTGTAAATTTTAGTTAATAACAGACATGGCATTTTGTCAGCAGAAAGATTCCTGGTGTTTGAGCTCCATCCCCTGGGCCTGCTCCCATCAGCAAAATCTCTGTACTTCTTCCACTCAAATGACTTTCAGACTTGGTGAGGGCTCAAC